TGGTGCTGGCCATCCACCCTCTCGTGTGCCGCGTCGGCCTTCGGAGATGCTCGGCCTCAAAGGCTACACGGGGGTATTTGTGTGTAGGGCGGTGCGGGGATATGTGGGGATATGTGTGACCGTGTGTGTGTGTGGGGGAGTGTTAAGGATGAGGACAATGGAGCATAGTGTATTCGTGCGCGTGGGGTGGTGGTACGTGGTGTATGTGCGTAGGTGTATCTGATGTGTATATGGGCGAGTGCAGTGTGTACAGGTGTGTGGGGCGAAATGTTAACTACCTTGCCAGATATACAGGAGGTTATGGGTTAGATCCCGACGCTACGCATGTATACTTGGAGTTTGCATGTTTTCCCCGTGGTCGTGTTGATTTTCTCCAGGACCTCTGGGTTTTCCCTCCACATTTAGAATCAACATTTGGCTGCTATTAATGTCCACGTGACAAGCCACTTCGTTGAGCTGTCATTTGTGGCCAGGTCGCTTCTGAAAAAGAGTTACATAGCTCAGTGGGCCTTACCTGGAAAAATGTAAAATAGTAAATAATGGTAGTGTGGTCGGTGTTTGGTGGGTGAATGTGCATGTGTTGGGTGTGGTGTGTCAGTGTGGTGGGTGGGTGTGTTGTGTGACGGTGTGGTAGTTTATGTGGTGTGTTGGTGTGGTGGTGTGTATGGGGGGTGTGGTGGGTGGGCGTGTGGTGGTGTGGTGGTGTGGTGGTTTGTGTGGTGTGTTGGTGTGTATGGGGGGTGGAGAGATTGAGTGATGTGGTACAGGAGGACGTGGAGCTGAGTGGACTTGCCGATGACTGGTACCAGCGGTGTCAAGACCGGCCTCTGTGGAGGAGGCTCGTGAAGGACGCTACTGGGCAGTTGGAGGCAGTCGCCCTCCAACAACAACGGAGGGCGAAGGAGCGATGCTCACAACAATGAGCGGAGCGCCGGGTGGCTAAAGCACAGCAAGTTGGCACAGTAGGGGGCACAGGTGGTGTATCAGCCAGTCGTCTCAGTCAGTCGACCTGTGGCATCTGGGTCTGCCCCGTGACCTCCTGCCGGCGGGCGTTCGACACTTCATGTGGCCTCAAGGTGCGTGGTGACGTCACCGCCACTTAGTGGCGAATGGCGGTTGTTGTAATTGGGGGTGTGGTGGGTGTGTGGCGGGGTGTGTGGTGTGTCTGAGGGGTGTGATGGGTGGGTGTGTGGTGGCTTGATGGTGTGATGGTTTGTGTGGTGTGTCAGTGTGGTGCTGTGTGTGGTGGGTGGGTGTGTGGTGGTGTGTGTAGTGTGTCAGTGTGGTGCGTATGGTGGGTGGGTGTGTGGCATGACGGTGTGGTGGTGTGTGCGGTGGATGTGTGGTGGTGTGATTGTTTGTGTGGTGTGTCAGTGTGGTGCTATGTGTGGTGGATGTGGGGTTGTGTGATGGTTTGTGTGGTGTGTCAGTGTGGTGGGTGGGTGTGTGGCATGACGGTGTGGTGGTGTGTGTGGTGGTGTGATGGTTTGTGTGGTGTGTCAGTGTGGTGCTGTGTATGGTGGGCGGGTGTGTGGTGGTGTGTGTAGTGTGTCAGTGTGGTGCGTATGGTGGGTGGGTTTATGGCATGACGATGTGGTGGTGTGATGGTGTGATGGTTTGTGTGGTGTATCAGTGCAGTGTATCAGTGTTGTGCTGTGTATGGCGTGTGGGTGTGGTGGTGTGTGTGTGGCGTGACGGTGTGGTGGTGGTAGTGGTATGATGTGTGTGTGTGGCAAGTCATAGTAACTGCCCGTCGTTGTTTATGCTCCCCGAGGGGGTGGATGGGAGAGAGAGGGAAGGGGGTTCATTCCCCTGCCTCCGTCAAACTGGGTTCGGCCGGGAGAGACGTCACCGACGTCCCCCCGGCGCCCTGCGGCTCACCCACTTCGCCCACCGCTCTCTCCTCCGCGCTTCTCTGCTCGCGACGCCGACGGTGGAGTGGGAGGCACGGTCAGCCCCCCCCCCACTGACCGGCGCGCGAGCCTCTCGGCCGACGGCGTTGCTCGCAGCGACCACCCCGCGGTTGTGACCGTGAAGAAGGTCCCCCGTGTAGCCTACGCGGCAGGTGCCGTGGGCGAGCAGCGCGTACGAACTGTCGGCACGATGCGCCTACGAGGGGGTGGTTGTGTGCACAAGGCCACGCGCGCACCGGCCGCCTTTGTCTCCCCAGTGCCGATTGTTACACACGTCCGTCCCGTGAACTCCTGCCAGCGAACCCTCGGCGATTTACGTGCCCTCACAGTGCACCTAGTCTGGCACGAGCCCCGCGGCGACGTCACATGGTGGTTGTTGTGTGTGTGTGTAATTGGTGTGTGTACGCGCGTAATGGATGTGTGTTAATAGGTGGGTGTGCAGGTGCGTAATGGGTGTGTGTGTGTGTAGGTGGGTGTGTGTAATGGGCGTGTATGTACAAGAGGGTTTGTGCGGTGGTGCATTGGGTGTGTGTGTGTATAGATGGGTGTGTGCGTGTGTTCATAGGCTACATTGGATCTTTGTCTTCGTGTGAGGGTGTGTCATGGGTGTGTGTACAGAAGGGTGTATGTGTGTGTGTAGGTTGGTGCATGTGTAGAGGAGGGTGTGTGTGTGTGTGTAGGTCGTTGTGTGGGTATAGGAGGGTTTCTGTGTGTGTGTGTTTAGGTGGGTGTGTGTGCAGCCCATGGGCTTGTAATTACCAACACGCTGTTCTGGCATCAGCGCATCCACACATCATGAATGCATGCCGGGTCCAAACAAGAACATCTGCTGGACTACATAGTGACGGACCAGCGGATGCGAGCCCATGTCCTTGACACCAGGACCTAACCGTGGAGCTGATCTGCCCTCTGACCATCGACTAGTTATCTGTAAGATGCGCCTGCCATTCTTCCACGCCGTTGGTGGGTGTACACCCAGGACCCCATTCCAACCTAAGGTGGCCTGGTCTCAGTTAGCTGATGAAAGTTGCAAGCGAGAATTTCATCATCGCTTGCGGCTGGGGTCGGCATCGTCCCCCACTCCTCCTGATGTCGAGGGTAAATGGGCGAGGTTTAGGACTGTGACTCATACAGCTGCAATGGCTGCTTTGGGTACGCAGTTCAGACCTCCCCAGAGACCCTGGCTGACAGAGGAGGTGTTCAGAATGATTTAGAAAAAGCGACAGGCCCACTCTAATCATCTACAGCATCCCACGTCAGAGAATGAGGTGGCTTACCGCAGCCTTCGCTCGAAGGTTCGGACAGCCGTGAGGCGCTGCAAAGATGGGTGGTGGTCACGGGTTGCTGAGGAGATAGATTCTGCCTCAGTGGCCCGCGATCACAAATCACTATTCAACTCCATCAAAAAAATAACCTGCAGCGCCACACCTATTACCATTATTAGGGGAAAAAACGGTGATCCAATCTCCGACCCCCAGGAACAGGTTTGCAGATTTGCTGAGCATTTCTGAGGTCCTGGGGGGAGGGAAAATACCTCAGCCAGGAAAACATCATGGCACAAAGTGGGGTTGACCCTGCTGAGGCTGCGGTGCCTCAAATATTGGAACAAGTCACCCCCTATGAGTGGCTGGCTGAGGTGCCATCTGTTGAGGAAGTACTAAAGGCGATCCAGAGTCTGAGACCAGGAAAGGCACCGGGCAGAGATGATCTCCCAAGCGAAATGCTTAGGGAGGGTGGTGTTTGTGCATAAACTGCCCTACATTACATCATAACAGTCTGGACCACTGGACGGGTTCCGCAGGATTGGAAGGATGCCCTGGTAGTCCCCCTCTTTAAGAAGGGGAACTGCACAGACTGTAACAACTACAGGGGCATCTCACTCCTCAGTGTGCCGGGAAAGGTCCTGGCAAGGATTATTCAACATCGCCTTGCTAGGCACGCTGAGGAGAGGCTTGCGGAGCCCCAATGCGGTTTCAGGAAAGGGAGGTCCTGCACAGATGCTAAATTTTATGTCCGTCTGCTACAGCAGAGGTGTAGGGAATTCCAACAAGACCTACATCTCTGCTTTATTGACCTGGTCAAGGCCTAAGATACCATCAGTAGGCCTGGGCTCTGGGTTGTTCTTCGTGCTTTCGGAGTCCCTGACCCTCTGCTCACGATCATTAAGGACCTTCATGATGGTGAGCGGGCCCGGGTAAAACTACATGGCCGGGAGTCGGAGCCTTTCCCTGTACACCTTGGGGTGCGACAGGGATGTCCTCTGGCTCCCACATTATTTAACATCTATTTTGACCGCGTAGTTCGTGAAGCCTTCCATAGCTGTACCGGGGGAATTTCCATTTGGTACAGATATAATGGGAGGCTGATCGATGCCCGGGTGCGATCAAGGGATGGCTCCCTATTGGTCAATCACGTTATGTATGCCGATGATTTGGTAATAGCTGCTCATTCAGAAGAGGAGTTGGAGACGCTGCTGCTGAGACTGGAGCGTGCCACTAAGAGGTGGGGCCTTACCATCAGCCCCACCAAAACTAAGCACCTGCCTGGGTATTTTGTACCATCGGACACTCCACCCCCACAACTCCCAATTGGTGATGGGGCAGTTGTGGAGAGAGTGGAGAGTTTCCCATACCTGGGCAGTGTGCTTATGACCGGCTCCAGTTTATCAGCAGAGGTCTCACTCCGAATCAGTCGAGCGGCAATATCTTTTCATCGGTTGCGTAACGCTGTGTGGAAGCTACCTGGTCTGTCGCTCCGCACGAAGCTTCAGGTCTTCTCGGCCACGGTCATTCCCTCCCTTCTCTACGCTTGCGAAACGTGGACCCCCCTAGTGGAGCATCTTCGCCGGTTGGAAACATTTAGGCTGGCCTGCCTACGATCCATCCTGGGTTTAACCAGGCTGGATTGTGTGAGGAGCTCACAAGTCCTTGAAAGATCTGGGCAAAGTCCCATCAGTGAGCTCCTCCGGCAGGCAAGGCTGCGTTGGCTGGGTCATGTAGCCCGCATGCCCAGCCACCGCATGCCTAAACAGCTTTTGTTCGGCCGGATCGAGGGAGCTAGACGGGCGCGGCACGGGCTGGAGAAGAGATGGAGTGATGTGGTACAGGAGGACGTGGAGCTAAGTGGACTTGCCGATGACTGGTACCAGCGGTGTCAAGATCGGCCTCAGTGGAGGAGGCTCGTGAAGGACGCTACTGGGCAGTTGGAGGCAGTCGCCCTCCAACAACAACGGAGGGCGGAGGAGCGACGCTCACAACAACGAGCGGAGCGCCGGGTTGATAAAGCACAGCAAGTTGGTACAGTAGGGGGCACAGGTGGTGCATCAGCCAGTCATCTCGGTCATCTCGGTCAGTCGACCCGTGGCACCTGGGTCTGCCCCGTGACCTCCTGCCAGCGGGCGTTCGACACTTCACGTGGCCTCAAGGTGCACTTGGCCTGGCACAAGCATCGTGGTGACGTCACCGCCACTTAGTGGCGAATGGCGGTTGTTGTTGTTGTTGTGATGGGTGTAATGGATGTGCACGTGGACCTGACACCCGCACCCTCCCTGCCCTAACATCACTTGGGCAGGTGCAGGCCAGGCGCTGGGCCGTGACACCAGCGCCACCTCGCGGTGAGTGGCGGCTACTGGCGGGTGTGGTGATGGCAGAGGTGGCGGTGGTGTCGGTGATGATTGTGGTGGTGGAGGTTGTGGTGATGGCGGTTGTGGTGATGGCAGAGGTGGCGGTGGTGTCGGTGATGACTGTGGTGGTGGAGGTTGTGGTGGCAGTGGTGTCGGTGATGATTGTGGTGGTGGCGGTTGTGGTGATGGCGGTTGTGGTGATGGTGGTGGTGTCGGTGATGATTGTGGTGTTGGCGGTTGTGGTGGTGGCGGTTGTGGTGGTGGCGGTTGTGGTGATGGCGGTGGTGGCGGTGGTGTCGGTGATGATGGTGGCAGTTGTGGTGATGGCGGTGGTGGCGGTTGTGGTGATGGCAGTGGTGGCGGTAATAATGGTGGTGGTTGTAGTGATGGTGCTGATTTTGAAGCTCGTGTTATCAGCAGCAGTTGAGGTGTTGCTGTCGATGATTGGTGGTGTGGATGTTTAAAGCGATGGTGTCGGTGTTGTTAGTAGTGGTGGTGTTGTTGTTGACGTATATTAGCATAGGTGTTTTGTTGATCTATCGCTGCGTGATTATGTTGTTCGTGATGTTGCTTATAACGATGTTAGACATTGTTGTTATTGTTGTTGCTGATGACGATGTTAGTATTGTTGTTGTTGGCGATGTTAGTATTATGGCTGATGACGATGTTAGTATTGTTGTTGTTGGCGATGTTAGTATTGTTGTTGTTGTTGGCGATGTTAGTATTGTTATGGCTGATGACGATGTTAGTATTGTTGTTGTTGTTGGCGATGTTAGTATTGTTGTTGATGACGATGTTAGTATTGTTGTTATTGGCAATGTTAGTATTGTTGTTGTTGATGACGATGTAAGTATTGTTGTTGTTGACGATGTTAGTATTGTTGTATTGACCTTCGAGCAGCGAGCCCACGATTTCGCTCGCAGGCCGCGCCTCCAGCACCTCGGGCCACTCCATCTCCCCCGTGCGCAGGCCTCGCGCCAGGGCCTAGCCCACACACACACACAGGGGCACCCGCTCATAGGGGTCCTCACTCACAGGGGTACGCACACACAGGGGTACGCGCACACACAGGGGTCCTCACTCACAGGGTCCCTCACTCACAGGGGTACCGACGTATTGACGTCCTCGCTCACAGGGGTACCCACACACAATCACGCAGAGACTCGGACACACACATTCTCATACGTAGCACTGTGCTAACCACTGTGCCACCGCTCTCACACTGCCTCCCACAAAGATCCCCCGTATAGCCTTTAGCGGACTTTTGGGACGAGCGCTGTTAGCGAGTACCTATGAAGGCCGGGGTGTGTGATCAGCACCATGCCCAGTCACCTTTGTTTCCCGAGTATACGAGGTTTAAACACCGGCACCAGGTACTCATTTAACGCCGAGTTGACCTAGGGGAGGCTCGGGACCAGTTAAACTAATCGTCACTCGTGTTGGCCGCGAGCGGGAATCAAACTCGGGTCGCCGGGTTCGTAGCGCAGTGCGCTCCCCACTACGCTACCGAAGGCAAAGATCCCCGTGTAGCCTGAACAGACTCATGGGGCAAGTGCTGTTAGCGAGCATCCATGAAGGCCGGCACGGCGCACGAGCGGGCGATGTTCACACACCCCACCAGGTAACTCATTTGAGGCTGAGTCGATCTAGGGGAGACCCAGGACCGGTTCAGATAATCGTCACCGGTGTTGCGACCACGCTATAAATATTGTTGTTGTTGACGATGTTTGTATTGTTGTGAGTATTGTTGTTGTTGATGACCACCACCGCACACGCACCAGCAGGAAGTCGAGCTCGCGGTAGAGAGAGAAGGCCGGGCTCCGTGGGTCGCCGGGCTCCACGCGCAGAAGCTGCGCACCGCACACACACACAAAAGACAAAGATCCCACCCACCCCGTGTAGCCCACACAGGCTGTTGGGACAAGTGCTGCTCGCGCACCTACGTGGGGGTGGTGCGGCGAGCGCCTACGAGGGGGTGGTGTGACAAGGACCACGACGCCCGGCCGCCTTTGTCTCCCCAGTGCTGATGTTTAACACCCCGCACCAGGTACTCGTTTGAGTCCAACCCAACCAAATGGAAAAGGTTCAGATTAGAATCCGTCGCTGGTGTTGGCCGTGGGCAGGAATCAAGCTCTGGTTGCCGCTATACAAAGAAAAAGATGCCCCTTATAGCCCTAACAGACTGTAGGGGCAAGTGCTGTTAGCGAGCACCTGTGAAGGCCAGCACGGCACACGAGGGGGTGGGTGGCCAGCAACATGTCCAGCCACCTTTGTCTTCCCAGTGGCGATGTTTACACACTGCACCAGGGTACTCATTTGAGGCCGAGTCGACCTAGGGGAGGCCCAAGACCGGTTCAGATAATCGTCACTTGTGTTGGCCGTGAGCGAAATCGAAGTCGGGTCGCCGGATTCATGGCGCAGCGCGCTAACCGCTACACCACTCGCTCCCCACACACACAACCCAACGAGGCTGGGACGATGTCAACGCGCGACACAGCTTTACCAGGGCCTGGACCCTCACCGAGTCACCCACTCACCAGGGTCCCCGTAGCGTCGGCCGGCGGAGGCTGGCCCAGCTGGGCCACGCGGCTCCAGGTGAAGTCGAGCAGGAGGCTGCTCTGAGCCTCGGGCCCGGCCAGCGGCGCTGTCGAGTCCAGCGCGGAGTTGGCGCCAAATACATCGTAGCGCACGTACGCACGCGTCTTCACCTGCTCACGCGCACAGTCACAGGCGCGCAGTCGCGCGCATGCTCGTACACACGCGCAGTCACACGCGCACACATTCGGCGGTGCGGTGCGGCGTGGCTCCTCACCGCACTGGTGTGGTGCCTCTGCTTGTGGGCATCGCACAGCTTGTCCAGGGCGGGCAGTGCCACTCGGCGAGGTACGGGCCCTGCTCAAACACAAACACGTGAGTGTGGGCACGGGTTGTCTGTGTGGGCACGTGTTGTGCGCGTGGCCGCGACCGCTCCGTGCGGAGCAGCAGCGTGGCGATTAAATGCTACGAAGCTGGCGACCTGGGTTCGAATCACGGCCACAAACACCGGTGACGATTATCTGAACTGGTCCTGGGCCTCCCCTAGGTCGACTCAGCCTCATTTGAGTACCTTTGTGCAGTGTGTAAACATCGCCCACTAGGGAGACAAAAGCGGCCGGGCGTGGTGCTGGACACCCACCCCCTCGTGTGCTGTTCCGGCCTTCAGAGGTGCTCGCTAAAAGCACTTGCCCCTACAGTCTGTTACAGGCTATAGGTGTAATGTGTCACACATGTACACAAAGATGTAAACAAAGATGTCACACAGGAGTATCATACATAATCAACGTTTTTGGGTTTAGATCGCGTTATTTATAAATGTGTCGTAACCCTCCACCACCCGACACGGCCAATCAGTAAAAAAGTGTCACGTTGACAAAAGACAAATAGTTCACTGCTTTAGCCCACCGGTGTGTTGAAGCGTGAAACCACAACAATTTACAATTTTTGAGTAGCACGACGTTTCGCTGGTAATTGCATCCAGCATCATCGGGCAATTCGCCAGAATGGTGAGGCTCTGCTCTGGCTCCCAGTCTTAAATAGAGCAGCAGCAGGGTGACGTCATCATCAACTCATCATACGTCACACTTGAGTCACACTCACACACACACGTCACACACAGGCGTCACTACATCCCACCTTGGCACGTGGCCGTGTAGAGCGCGACTCCTCCGGCGCTACGCTGACCTTTGCCCTGAGCGTGACCCCTGGCTCGGCCCTTCGACCCCGGCGCCCCCAGGATGGGCACGGCCCCGAGCCAGCACGTCCCCTCGGGGTCTGCGGCATCACACGCCACCCACAGCGGCGGCAGGGCTCCCGCGGCGCCCTCGTGCACGCGGTCAGGGGGCCCGCAGGGACCCTGAGCCAGCATGTACCACGACACGAGCCGCCTGCGTGGCACAGGGGGCAGCAGGAACGGTGATGGCGATGACAACGTGTTTTTTATAAAAAAACATTTTTACTACTTTTATTAATTTTAATTTTTTACCTACGTGACTTTACCGAAAAAACCTAAGAAGATGACAACGTTGACGATGCGTTGTTAGCGAGGGCCTACGAAGGCCGGACCGGCACACGAGGGGGTGCCCAACGCCAAGCCCCGGCCGCCTCTGTCTCCCCGTTGGCGTGCCGATGTTGAGACGCCGTACGGGGTGCTCACACGCGCGGAACTCACCGCGCGACCGACAGCGGCAGGGCGAACGAGTCGGGGGCAGCCGGGCATTCCTGCTCCGACAGGCGACGGGGGCTGGGGAGGGGGCCGCCCCCCGGTGCGGGGCTCTCCAGCCCGGACGCGTTGTTGTCGTCGTTGTTGTCGTTGTTGTTGTCGTTGTTGTCGTCCCCGCCTGGACCCCCCGGCCCCCTGAACTTGGGGGGTCCGGCGTCCGGGTCCCGCTGCTCCTCCTGCGCGTTGCGTCTCTCGGCCAGCAGCACCGCTCGTCCTGCCGCATCGCCCACGAGGCTCAGCGGGTGAGACTCGTCGTCCACCACCACCAGCAGCCGCACGGTGACGTCGTCCTGCACCGGCACGGAGTGAGGCCCACACTCACCATGGACACTCACCACCACCACTCACCACCGCCACACGGTGACACCGACACTCACCAACACCATCACCACGGTGACACCGATACTTGCCACCACCACTCACCATCACCACACAGTGACACAGAGACTCACCACCACTCACCATCGCCACACAGTGACATAGAGACTCACCACCACTCACCATCGCCACACAGTGGCACAGAGACTCACCACCACTCACCATCGCCACACAGTGACACCGACACTCACCACCACTACTCACCACCACCACACGGTGACACCGACACTCACCACCACCACCACACGGTGACACCGATACTTGCCACCACCACTCACCATCACCACACGGTGCCACCACCACTCACCATCACCACTCACCACCGCCACAAGGTGACACCCACATTCACCACCACCACTCACCATCACCACAAGGTGACACCCACACTCACCACCACCACTCACCATCACCACACGGTGACACCGACACTCACCACCACCACTCACCACCGCCACACGGTGACACCGACACTCAACACCACCACTCACCATCACCACACGGTGACACCGACACTCACCACCACCACTCACCATCACCACACGGTGACACCGACACTCACCACCACCACTCACCACTGCCACACGGTGACACCGACACTCACCACCACCACTCACCATCACCACACGGTGACACCGATACTTGCCACCACCACTCACCACCACCACACGGTGACACCGACACTCACTAACACTATCACCCCACGGAGACACCAACACTCACCACCACCACTCGCCATCGCCACACTGTAACACCGACACTCACCACCACCACTTACCATCACCACGGTGACACCGCCACACAGTAACACCGACACTAACCACCACAACTCACCATCGCCACTACTCGGTGGAGTGACAGAGGTTGAGAAGCAAGCGCGTTACGGAATACAGTATGGCAATATAAAGACTGGCGGTGCAGTATCTCTACGCCGAGCTGCCTGCTCATGGTGGACACTTCCCAGGGTGGACACCGCTGGCATTTGAGCCCCGCTCGCCCGGCGAGGCGTTACTCACCTCAAACAATGTTGCTCTCTGTGGCTGCTCCTCACTGACCCTGGAAGCGGAACATCAGCATCTTAGGGGTCATCTCGGAGGAACTCATCACGTCACAGCAAACGGAGCACGTCAACACATCATCTCAACCACATCATCACATCATCTCAACCACATCACCGCATCGCCATGGATACTGAGACCCGGCCACGTGACACGCCGCGTCTGCTGCGAGTGAAGCGGTCGCAATGTTGTCGTGGTTGATACCGTGCACAACACCACCGCAGTATTCACCAGGGCGTCCTCTGGAATTCGAACCGTGAAACCCCTGCTGAGGCTGTAAGAGGGATCCAGGGACACCCGATTCGAGTTGATTTTGTGTAACCAGGTGGAGAGAACTCAAGGGACCGGGGTATTCAGAACTGTCGTCTCATTTGCAAGAGTGGGTGAGTATTTGGCTGCTATAAATTTCCACGTAATAATTATATCGCGGATTTTTTTAAAGGCTCTCAAAAGCGCTGTACAGGACACAGCAGCAGCAGACACTAAGCATAAAAATAATAAATATTTAAATAATTTTAAAAAACTATTAACTATACTAAACGTTTAATAAGCGGAAGCGTATAAATAGGTTTTAATAGGCATTTTTTTTAATGTCCAGACTTCGTTGAGCTATCATTTGTGGCCAGGTCGCTTCTACAGAAAGAGCTATCGATTATAGCAAAGTGGGCCTTAGCTGATAAAGTAAAACAAATGTTTATAGTTTAGTTTTTAGAATTAGTGGGTGTCAGTGAAATGTTGAGATAATTGAATGAGTGGGTGATTGAAATGGTGAGTGAGATGGTGAGTGGGTGAATGAGATGGTGGGTGAGATGGTGAGTGGGTGAGCAAGATGGTGAGTGAGGTGAGTGAGATGGTGAGTGGGTGAGTAAGCGAAATAGCGCTTGGGTGAGTGAGATGGTGAGTGGGTGAGTGAGCGAAATTGTGAGTGGGTGAGATGGTGAGTGGTGAGTGAGATGGTGAGTGAGTGAGATGGTGAGTGGGTGAGGTGGTGAGCGAGATGGTGAGTGGGTGAGATGGTGAGTGGTGAGTGAGATGGTGAGTGGGTGAGTGAGTGAGATGGTGAGTGGGTGAGTGAGATTGTCAGAGGGTGAGCGAGTGTGTGACATGGTGAACGAGATGGTGAGTGAGATGGTGAGTGAGTGAGATGGTGAACGAGATGGTGAGTGGGTGAGATGGTGAGTGGGTGAGTGAGGGAGATGGTGAGCGAGTGAGATGGTGAGCGAGATGATGAGTGGGTGGGTGAGATGGTGAGTGGGTGAGTAAGTGAGATTGTCAGTGGGTGAGCGAGTGTGTGTGAGATGGTGAGTGAAATGGTGAGCGAGTGGGTGAGTGAGCGAGTGGGTGAGTGAGATGGTGAACGAGATGGTGGGTGAGTGAGATGGTGAACGAGATGGTGGGTGAGTGAGATGGTACGTGGGTGAGTGAGATGGTGAGTGAGATGGTGAGCGAGTGAGATGGTGAACCAGATGGTGAGTGGGTGAGTGAAATGGTGAGCTAGTGGGTGAGTGAGTGAGATGGTGAGTGAGATGGTGAGTGAGATGGTGAGTGGGTGAGATGGTGAATGAGATGGTGAGTGAGATGGTGAGTAGGTGAGTGAGATGGTGAGCGAGTGAGATGGTGAACGAGATGGTGAGTGGGTGAGCGAGATTGTGCGTGGGTGAGTGAGATTGTCAGTGAGTGAGCGAGTGTGAGATGGTGAGTGAAAGTGATGAGCGAGTGGGTGAGTGAGATGGTGAGTGGGTGGAATGAGATGGTGAGTGAGATGGTGAGTGACATGGTGAGTGAGTGGGTGAGTGTGTAAGATGGTGAGTGGGTGAGTGGGTGAGTGAGATGGTGAGTGGGTGAGTGCGATGGTGAGTGAGATGGTGAGTGGGTGAGTTCAAGTTGATATTGCGTGACCAGGCGAGGACTCTAAGAGACCAGAACGAAGTTTCATTCGCATGAGCGAATGAAGCATACATATCAATCACAACAACAACAGTAAAACAGCAACTGCGTAGTCACATCAGAAACTGACTGTAAAAAATGTTTTACACAAACGTGAATAATCGATGATCGATAATTAATTCCCCTGTGGGAAATCATGCGGCTCGGGCAGATTCTGTTTACATCGATCACAGGTTCGTTTCATTCAGATGCTGTCTCCCCGACAGACCTGGTCTTCACCTGAGGACGGCTGCTTGCATTGTGGCCGAAACGTCGTGAGAATTATTTTATCATGTTTTATTTTTATTATTTGATTACTTCCCTTCTACGTGACTTTACCGAAAGAACCAAGACAGAGAATGTAATAGTTGAATTTTTATTATTTTATTACTTCCCTTCTACGTGACTTTACCGAAAGAACCAAGAATATGAATCCCTGCAGTCACGAAAGCTTTAAATCGAAATATTGACCTTAAGTCGACTTCAAGAGTGGATGTTAAATATCCCTTCTACGTGACTTTACCGAAAGAACCAAGAAGGTTCGTTAAATTGGAGGACTGCGATTGAGGCGTTCCACACTGCAGGGCCCCGTCCTTGCTAACGTGGAGTGGGCACCCGCCAGGTACATCGCCGCTCACCTGCGCAGGAACTCGCAGAAGACGGCTGCGTCCTCAAACGCCATGACTCCTGCAGCACTCTCTCCCCTCCTCCTCCTCACGTCTCTCTCCTCTCCTCCCCTCCTCACGTCTCTCTCCAGAGTCTCTGTACTCTCCCCAAGTCCAGCTCGGCTCTCCCCTGCGCTCGTCACTACCCCGGCTCTCCGCGGTCTCTGTGGCTCTCCCCGCCTCTCTAACCCTGTGGCTCTCTCTTCACTCTCCCCACCGCTCTCTCCACTCTCCCCGCGGCTCTCTCCCTGTGACTCTCCCCGCGTCTCTCTCCCCACGCTCTCCCTAGTCTCACTCCACTCTCCCTGTGACTCTCTCCACTCTCCCTGTGACTCTCCCCGCGTCTCTCTCCACTCTCCCCACGCTCTCTCTCGTCTCTCTCCACGCTCTCTCCACTCTCTCTCCACTCTCCCTGTGACTCTCCCCACGCTCTCCACTCCCCGTAACTTCGCGTTTCCCGCCAAGCGCCTCGTGAACTCAGCCGCGCTTTCGCGAGCGGGGCCTCGCACAGATTCGCGTTGCCATGGGAACGGTCATTTGCAGTCGGAATTGAACCGCAGCGCGGTTTCGTTTTCTCGCCGCTGCTAAGAAATAAAAGGACAATAGAGATATAAATAATTAAACAAATCCCGCGTCTCCTCATCGCAGCGCGAGCCGAGGGATTCCATCGATTTAATCACAGCTCACGCGCTCCGAGATCGATCATAAACACCGCGCGAATCGGCTCCGCTCCAAATATCCGCTACGTATGCCAGCGCTGGGTCCGGTATCTAACGATGAATCGATTCCCCGATTCGTGATCGATTACCTCATCCTCCCCGCACTGTGACCAGCGCGGTGAAGTATGGTCAAACAAACCCCCCCCCACCCATTCTTCGTATGGATGGACAACCCAGCGTTGGATTGACAGATAGGGATTATAAACGACTCGTTTATTGCAATAAACCTCACGATACTCATCGCGTGGAATCGCGAGTCGCCGATTCCAATGGTGTCGATTCACGCACCTCTTGCAGGGGGGGGGGGCAGTGTGGGGAGCGGTGTCCACACCCTGTCAACCAATAGGGGCCGTCCATGAATGACGTCACGCAATTTTAGACGCCATCGTCACGCGGCGTCACGAAAAGTTAGACCCCGCCCCTCAAATATGACGTCACAAAGGTCTGCACCCCCCCCACCCCCAAAAACATATTTCCATTTTGAAATAAAACATGCTTCAAATCGCTTTAAACTATTGTCATTGTAGTGCGTATTTAATGTGGCGCTGCACTCTGATGTTGTAGGAGTGTTGCTATAACAATTAGTGTTGCTTTAACAATTCTATATTTATTTAAAGTTGCGCATTTTTATGTGACGTCACATTTCTCAAACCCCCCACCCCCCCTCTCGTCACACATCGTCACAAATGTCTTACCCCCCTCCCCCCCCAGGTGCGTGACGTCATTTATGGACGGCCCCATACGGTGGCACATACCTTGTCAACCCATGCGGTGTCACATGCCCTGTCACGACCAATGGCGGAGTCAGGATTTTCAGGTAGAGGGGGCAACCCCTCCAGCAATGAAAACTGATAGAGGAGTTGTTACTGGTAGGAACCTCCTGGTTACACCAGCCCACAGGGGATTATTGTGTCCGTCGTGCAGGGAGGGGCTGGGTGGGGAGGGAGGGGCTGGGTGGGGAGGGGAGGGTGGGTGGGGAGGGGAGGGCGGGTGGGGAGGGGAGGGTGGGGAGGGACTGGGTGGGGAGGGTGGGGCTGGGTGGGGAGGGGCTGGGTGGGGAGGGAGGGGTGGGGCTGGGTCGGGAGGGGCTGGGTGGGGGTGGGAGGGGCTGGGTGGAAAGGATGGGGCTGTGTGGGGAGGGGCTGAGTGGGGAGGGGCTGGGTGGGGGTGGGAGGGGCTGGGTGGGGAGGGTGGGGCTGGGTGGGGGGTGGGAGGGGTAGGGCTGGGTGGGGAGGGGCTGGGTGGGGAGGGAGGGGTGGGGCTGGGTCGGGAGGGGCTGGGTGGGGGTGGGAGGGGCTGGGTGGAAAGGATGGGGCTGTGTGGGGAGGGGCTGAGTGGGGAGGGGCTGGGTGGGGGTGGGAGGGGCTGGGTGGGGAGGGTGGGGCTGGGTGGGGGGTGGGAGGGGTAGGGCTGGGTGGGGAGGGGCTGGGTGGGGGTGGGAGGGGCTGGGTGGGGCTGGGTGGGGTGTGGGATGGGTGGGGCTGGGTGGGGAGGGGCTGGTCACCCCGTGGTGCCCTTATAAAACTCAACGTGTAACCTACTCACGCCGGCTTGTGCCCGCCCTCACAGTCGGGCATATTTGCGGAATACACCACGCCGCCGTTGACCCTGCAGGCCATTGACCGAGCAACCCAACGTTCCTACCAGCTCCCTCCGCAGCAGGACAATGTGTTAGTAAGTAAGGACTTGTCCCTTGCTTTGTATTCGACGCGTGTGCGGCGATGGCGCAGCCATCGATCGAGGGTCGAGTTCGAACCGCGTCGTGTGATCGGCATCGCGCTCGCTGAAGGTGAATGCCTTCAGGGAAGTCGTGGACTGTATCATTCGGAGTCACTTATAACTGCTTTGCCGTTACTTATTGCCAATTATGGACTCAGACTATTGTCCTATCATCTCATAAAGTCTCTGACACGTAATAATATGCTACACAGTGGCAGTGGGGGTCGCAAAATGCCGATTTATTACTAATAAACCCCAATAATCCGATCGAAATTAGGGATTTCGATCGGATCATTGGGGGGGGGGGGGGGGCACGTGCCACCCCCCCTCCCCCACTGGCTCCACCAGTGGTGACAACCCACACGGTTTACTCCGTATTCTTGTACGGGGGAATTGAGTTTAAAAAAATTAACCCGTAAAAACAAAGTTTAATTTCTATTTTTCTTGAGTAAGAGTTTAATTTTTATCACATTGGTATTTTAAATGAAATATGAAATTGTTTTTTTTCCTAAAAAGTGGAAAATTTTGGAAAAAATTTTCACGAAAATAAATTGTCACGCACAACGAGTCTGTGTGCAAAATGTCAGCTCGATTGGATCACGGGAAGTGGGTTAAAAAACGACCGAAAGATTTGCACGGTCGTAAGCGCGCAAGCAAGCAAGCAAGTGAACTTAATATAAAGGATTTAAAAACGTTTGCGTCTATTTGTTTGTGTTTGTCCCTCGTGATGGGACTTTGTGTAGGATGAACGTTGAGATTTCTAAGGGGCACGGGGTGACCAATAGGGTCTGAGTTGGCCTGTAATGAGGTATAGGATAGGAGGCACTATAGTATAGGAGGCACTGATCAGAGGTTGACAACTATGGTGCTGTGGGAGCGTTTTCGCCGTCATTTGTTGCTTTGTGCATCCCACTACCGACGCAGCGTCGCATACAACAACAACACAATCTCATTGACATGCCAATTTCTCCAGCCCCCACCCGTCCCTGCACGAAAGCTTTAAGTCAAGACTCACGATTTAAATCTCATCGACATGCTAATTCTACTCTACAAAACCCCTCCCTTCCCCCCTCCCGTGCCTATATAAAGCCACAACAGCAGATCATGATTTCTCACCTGATGACGGACGCTCGTGTTGCGACCGAAACGTTGTGTTCTATTCTTTGGTTCTTTCGGTAAAGTCACGTATAAAGATTAAATAATAAATTAAATAATAGCATACGTCGACGTTTCGATTGCAACACAAGCAATCATCATCAGGTATTCTATTATTATTTTTTCTACCCACGTGTCTTTACCGAAAGAACCAAAGAGTATGGATTCCTGCAGTCACGAAAGCTTCAAATCAAGATCAAAATACATCCCGCCAGCCCTTTTCCGCATGGCGCCTGTGCAACAACCTAAAAAAACACCAACCAGTTCCTCAGGAATTGGTTGGTTGTGCTTCATCTTTGTCTTGAGTCACCGCCTCCGCCGATTTGAGCGGGACAAAAAAAATCACGTGGTCCAGCCGACCGACCAACCGATAGCAAGACGGATATTTCTAGATTTGAAGCTTTCGTGACTGCAAGGATTCATACTGTTAGTTCTTTCAGTAAAGTCACGTAGGTAAAAAATAAAAAAAATATTTAAAATTAATAAAAGTAAAATAAAAATTCTAGATTTGACGCTTTCGTGACTGCAAGGATTCATACTCTTAGTTCTTTCGGTAAAGTCACCATGTAGGTAAAAAATAAAAAACATATTTAAAATTAATAAAAGTAAAATAAAAATTCTAGATTTGAAGCTTTCGTGACTGCAAGGATTCATACTCTTAGTTCTTTCGGTAAAGTCGCCATGTAGGTAAAAAATAAAAAAAATATTTAAATTAATAAAAGTTAAATAAAAATTCTAGATTTGAAGCTCTCGTGACTGCAAGGATTCATGCTCTTAGTTCTTTCGGTAAAGTCACGTGGGTAAAAAATAAAAAATATATTTTAAATTAATAAAAGTAAAATAAAAATTCTAGATTTGACGCTTTCGTGACTGCAATGATCCATACTCTTAGTTCTTTCGATAAAGTCACGTAGGTAAAAAATTAAACAAATATTTAAAATTAATAAAAGTAAAATAAAAATTCTAGATTTGAAGCTTTCGTGACTGCAATGATCCATACTATTAGTTCTTTCGGTAAAGTCACCGTGTAGGTAAAAAATGAAATTAAAATTAATAAAATAAAACAATAAAAATCACGACGTTTCGGAGGCAACACAAGCTTCTGTCTTCAGGTGAAACCGTCACAGCAAAATATCTGTACCTTATATAGTGGTTAAGGGGGGAGGAGGAGTTGTCCCCCTGCTACAGATATTTTGCTGTGACGGTTTCACCTGAAGACGGAAGCTTGTGTTGCCTCCGAAACGTCGTGATTTTTATTGTTTTATTTTTTATTAATTTTTATTTCATTTTTTACCTACACGGTGACTTTACCGAAAGAACTAAGAGTAAGACGGATATTCATCTATCGAATGGTGACTTAACGAAATTCTCACGTTGTAGTTCTTCAGGAACTGGTGGTGATTTTTGCACAATGCATGATACTCTGCTCACACACACACACGGGCCCAAGTGAAACGGGGATTAGGTGTTGTTGCTCCCTGAAGTGTTTATTTAAAAATAAACGACCACCACGTCGTTTTATAACAACTCGCTTACCCGCAATCGACATATCGAACTTCTTTCGCGCCGTGCTAATCGTATTTTTGGGGAAGGACAACAAACTAATGCTTATTGGTCACGAGACCAGATCCTGAGTGCGTGACCCACCTGGACACGACGCCATTCGTGAAGGTGCCGTCAAAAAGAAATACAATCAAAATGTCCGCCACGTGTCACAGCGCCCGCCGCTCCATTGTGACGACAGAGGGCGGGGCTTCCTCGTCACGTGTCTCCTCGACCTCGTGCCTGACTTCCTTTCCTCGATGGCCAGCAACCTCGTGCAATGGGGAGGGTGGGGTGAGGTGAGCGAGGGAGGGGTGAGGTGGGAGATAGGGGGGGGGGGAGAGAAGCTAGGAGAGTCGATTGCAAAGTTCGAGGCACTGCCCAGCAGAGGTCGCAACCGGGTACCCGATACCCGTACCCTACCCGATACCCGGCTGGGTACGGGTACCCGTTTGCGACCCTGGTGCGGCCGGGTACGGGTACGGGTAGGCCGTGAGTCACTTGTGAGTAACTGTTTGTCACTCATTTCCCAACGTCTTGTCTCTTCTCACAATTCAAGTTCCTAGAATCAACCCACCCACGCCTGCAACATGGCTTCATCCCAGAGGTCGCAATCAGGTACCCGATACCCGTACCCGGCCGGGTACGGGTGTAGGGTACGGCCGGGTACGGGTACCCGTTTGCGACCCTGGTGCGGCCGGGTACGGGTACGGGTAAGGAATCAAAACCCGTTTGCGACCTCAGCAGCCCAGGGGCAGGGCCTCTGTGCAAAACGCATCAGCGCGAGTGTCGGCAATCACGCCTCACGGCGACCTGAGCAGGGTCCAGGATGGTTCTCTCGGGCACGCCCGGGACACCATCTGGCCGACACACCTGATTAACTCGAACTCTCACCTAGAAACCTTGATATGAACTCGTCAACCCTGACTTATAAACGCCGATACGAGACCTCAACAGCGTGAGATACCACCTCTTGCAGGCAAGAGACAGAGGTACCCTTCGAGGATTTGCGAGTACCAGGTATTCAAGTACGGCAGTAAAACACGCTCGGCGGATACAAACGAACCGCGAGCGTGATCCCCGGATCGCGATATCCGAACATCGCTCGTGAAATGCATAATCGTTGATAATCTTCTCATTCTTCGTGCGGCTGATGTTGATGTGTCGCAGCAGCAGCAGCAGCCATGAGTTTGCATCGAGGTGGTTGATGACTGCGTCAGGAGTATCGGAGTAGTGAATCATCGCTGCTGTGATGCCTCCTTTATACAGATCTCTGTGTGAGTCTACGGGTCTGTATGCGAGTATATAGATATCTGGGCCTAAGGGTCTCTGATTTATTTATGGGTCTCTATGTGAGTCTATAGATCTCACGGTGAGTCTATGGTTTTGTATGTGAATCTATAGATCTCTGTGTGAGTCTGTGAGTTTATATGCGAGTCTATGGATCTCTATGTGAATCTATAGATCTGTGTGTGAGTCTGTGAGTTTCTATGCGAGTCTATGGATCTCTATGTGAGTCTATAGATCTCTGTGTGAGTCTATGGGTTTCTATACGAGTCTATGCATCTCTATGTGAATCTACAGATCTCTGTGCGAGTCTGTGGGTTTCTATGCGAGTCTATGAATCTCTATGTGAGTCTATAGATCTGTGTCAGTCTGTGGGTTTCTATGTGAATCTATAGATCTCTGTGTGAGTCTGTGGGTTTATATGCGAGTCTATGCATCTCTATGTTAATCTATAGATCTGTGTGTGAGTCTATGGGTTTCTATGTGAGTCTATGGATCTCTATGTAAATCTATAGATCTCTGTGTGAGTTTGTGTGTTTCTATGCGAGTCTATGGGTCTCTATGTGAATCTATATATCTCTGTGTGAGTTTGTGTGTTTCTATGCGAGTCTATGGGTCTCTATGTGAATCTATAGATCTCTGTGTGAGTTTGTGTGTTTCTATGCGAGTCTATGGGTCTCTATGTGGATCTATAGATCTCTGTGTGAGTCTATGGGTCTCTATGTGAGTCTATGAGTCTCTATGTGAGTCTATGAGTCTCTGTGTGAGTCTATGGGTCTCTATGTGAGCCTATGAGTCTCTACGTGAGTCTATGGGTCTCTATGTGAATCTATAGATCTCTGTGTGAGTCTATGGGTTTCTATGTGAGTCTATGGGTTTCTATGTGAGTGTATGGGTCTCTATGTGAATCTATAGATCTCTGTGTGAGTCTGTGGGTTTCTATGTGAGTCTATGGATCTCTATGTGAATCTATAGATCTCTGTGTGAGTCTGTGTGTTTCTATGCGAGTCAATGGGTCTCTATGTGAATCTATAGATCTCTGTGTGAGTTTGTGTGTTTCTATGCGAGTCTATGGGTCTCTATGTGAATCTATAGATCTCTGTGTGAGTTTGTGTGTTTCTATGCGAGTCTATGGGTCTCTATGTGAATCTATAGATCTCTGTGTGAGTTTGTGTGTTTCTATGCGAGTCTATGGGTCTCTATGTGGATCTATAGATCTCTGTGTGAGTCTATGGGTCTCTATGTGAGTCTATGCGTCTCTATGTGAGTCTATGAGTCTCTGTGTGAGTCTATGGGTCTCTATGTGAGCCTATGAGTCTCTACGTGAGTCTATGGGTCTCTATGTGAATCTATAGATCTCTGTGTGAGTCTATGGGTTTCTATGTGAGTCTATGGGTTTCTATGTGAGTGTATGGGTCTCTATGTGAATCTATAGATCTCTGTGTGAGTCTGTGGGTTTCTATGCGAGTCTATGGATCTCTATGTGAATCTATAGATTTCTGTGTGAGTCTGTGGCTCTATATGTGAATCTATAGATCTGTGTTAGTCTGTGGGTTTCTATGTGAGTCTATGGATCTCTATGTGAATCTATAGATCTGTGTGAGTCTGTGGGTTTCTATGCGAGTCTATGCATCTCTATGTGAATCTATAGATCTCTGTGTGAGCCTGTGGGTTTCTATGCGAGTCTGTGGGTTTCTATGGGAGTATATGGATCTCTATGTGAATCTAATGATCTATTTTCTTCTCCGTACGTGGTGAATCACCATCGCTGCTCTGACGATGCCACCACCACCACCACCTCCTCCTGCATGTTTACAATTCCCGTGGCTCTGTTCTGGGTGAAGATCACAGTCTCCGCACCTTGCCCGGAGAGTTTGTCATTTCCCATGTGTGCATCATCATCATCACCCAGCGTCCACAGCTGCTGCTGCTGCTGCCATGCTTTGTACAGCGGATGCGGTTCAGGGGTTGTGGCTTCGTGCGTTCCAAGGGAGATCGAAGCCTCGGGACCTTCTGCACCGTCGGACCTTTTCAGATTACCGTTGATCACCAGCCGAGCCAAGTGAAAATGGCGGGGTTGTGTAAACAGGCAGTTCCTGCACGCGCAGATCGCATCGGTCTGACCCGGGTCAACCATCGCCGGGTGGCCGTAGTGGCTATGCTGCACGTGGTCGGTTGATCACACGCAGTCTCGTGAAACTCCCTCTTTGCCCGTGTGCGCTGAGGTCACCGTCTCCGGGCTAAGCCAGGGTGTGAAGGCAGTCCAGCAAGTGGCTCCATTGCCAACGCTACTGGGATTTGAGTGTTACTCTCCCCGCACGCGTGTGGGTTTCCTCCGGACACTCCGGTTTCCTGCCACATGTATAGACACTCATTGGTGGAGTTGGCGGGAAAAAAATCCCAACGTAGGGCCACAGAACTTGGGCAATTGTTGGTAGCGCCGGTGGCCCACTGCGGTGGCTGCCTCCCCACGACTCGTCATCGCGCCACCGAGTCGTCGTCCGCTCTCTACGAGAACGATGAGTGCGCCCCGGGTGGTCCGGGTGGTGCGGGTGGTGTGGGTGGTGTGGGTGGTGCGGGTGGTGTGGGACGTGCGGGTGGTGTGAGTGGTGTGGGAGGTGCGGGGGGTGCGGGAGGTGCGGGTGATGGCGGTGATGTGGGTGGTTGTGGGAGCGGAGGCGTTCCGGCTTGAAATGGTTGTGATTATCCCCCCCCCCCCCCCCCCGGGGGCCTCGAGGTGTGAATGCCGCATGCGCATCGCAAATTCTACCGCGGCGCCCTGAGATGCGATTTGCACTGCCAAACGCCACCGCTGCCACCGTCGCCACCGCCACTACCGCCGTCATCGCCGCACAGGGGCACGCGACCCAACACTGCAACATCGCTTGAGGTCGCGGGCCAAGTTCAGGGCTCAATGAACAGAGTCGCGGTGACCACGGAGAATCCAAGCAGCAGGGACAGCATCTGTGGGGAGCCAAGGAATGTGGGGGAGGCAAGGGCAGACACAGCAACAATAATAATGTCATCATTTGCTTATTTATCCAGAAGAACCACACTGAATCATAAGAGGGTCCCTGTTGTTCAATGTAGTATTTGAAGATGTTTTCAGCCAATTCATAACATGTTCATTATTCACGTGGGATTAGTCTCCATGCCACCCAGGGTGCGGCTCCCCCTCAACGCCCACGGGAAGGGAGTTTCACATCCCATCTGCGTGCGATTCATCAACCCTCGCTGCTGCGCCCCGCAGCGACGGATCGCGGGCAGCCGCGCGTGGCGTAGCTGCCAATGCCGCCACCCAGGCTTGGAGGAGGGGGCAGCTTGAGGGAGCCTCGTAGCCGTAGTCACTTACTCCGCGGAGCGCTTTACACAGATAGGAATGAGAGGCAGGCGGGCAGACAGGTCTACAGATGAACAGGCAGACCGAGGCATCGACAGACAGGATGAGCGCATGCACGCACGTACCCTTCACAAAGAGGCAGAACAAGAGGGAGGCAAACGAGCAAGGGAAACTGACAGATGGATGGTCAGACCAACACATAGACACACACACAGTGAGACTGACCAACAGACGGACATGCGGACTGATTTAACCAACAGACGGACAAGGAGAGAGACAGACAGAAAGACTGACAGTTGGTCTCAGGCCGGTTCACAAACAGCCAGAGCCAAATCGACGTCCAAACAACCGGAAAAACACGCAGTCAGTCAGGCAAATATTGCATGACTAACTGACGAACCGATTACGACAGATAACGATATAAAGACAGAGATCCCCGTATAGCCTTCATATGCTATTGGGGCAAGTGCTGTTAGCGAGCACCTATTATGGACGGCACAGCACACGAGGGGGTGGGTGGCCAGCACCACACCTGGCCGCCTTATTCTCCCTGCTGCTGATGGTTGCATACTCTACTGGGTACATATTTAGGGTTGAGTCGACCTAGGGGAGGCCCAGTACCAGTTCGGATAATAGTGTTGGCCGCTAACCACGCACGCACACCAGAGGTCGCAAACGGGTTTTGATTCCTTACCCGTATCCGTACCCGGCCGCACCAGGGTCACAAACGGGTACCCGTACCCTACCCGATACCCGGCTACCCGTATCTGGCCGGGCATCGGGTAGGGTACGGGTACCCGATTGCGACCTCTGGGATGAAGTCATGTTGCAGGCGCGGGTGGGTTGATTCTAGGAACTTGAATTGTGAGAAGAGACAAGACGTTGGGAAATGAGTGACAAACGGTGACTCACCAGTGACTCACGGCCTACCCGTACCCGTACCCGGCCGCACCAGGGTCGCAAACGGGTACCCGTACCCGTACCCGGCCGGGTACGGGTAGCCGGGTATCGGGTAGGGTACGGGTATCGGGTACCTGGTTGCGACCTCTGACGCACACACACACCCAGCCGACCGGCCCGGAGCTGGAGCGAAAGCCACAAAGACTCTACGGGCCCCCACCTTGAGCATTGGAGGCCCGGGAGCCTGCAGGCCTTGGGGCAGGATCTCAACGAAGGTGACGAACACGAAGGTGCCCGCGGAGACGCCCTCCAGGACGCTGCGCGCCATCGTGTTCCCGCCGGGCGCCACGGGGTCGCCGCGCGTCACCAGCGCGCCGCCCAGCATGCCGAGCGGCGAGGCCAGCGAGAAGATCGCGGCCAGCAGCCAACCGGCCGGGCGCGACACCGTCTTTCCGGGCCCCCACAGCTCGAGGCCCAGGCCTAGGGCCACCAGGGCCTTGTGCAGGAAGAGCGAGCCGCAGAGCCGGGCGAGCTGCGTGGCACTCAGCTGCAGGCCGCACGCCAGCCCCTCGAATGCCGAGTGGATGGAGAGGGCACAGGCGAAGGTCACGACCCTGACCCAGCCGCTGGTCGTGCCGCCGTGACCGTGGCCGTGGCCGTGGTTGAGAGAACCTCCCGAGTGCGAGGCCCGCGGGTCCAGCAGGGCTTGGCGCTCCCTGTCGTCGGGTGCCTCGGGGTTGCCGTGGGAACAGCAGGAGAGCGCCAGCTGCTCCAGCAGCAGCACGAGCAGGAAGCCCGCGGCCATGATGAACATGTCCAGAGGGAAGGAGGTCTGCAGCCGTCACAAGCACACCACCACCACCGCAAGAACAACACAACGAACACAATCAGCACGGCTGCGATGTCGGTAGAGGAACGGCTGAGTTCACTCCCTGCATTGTAAACATAAAACGCGTAGAGTAACATCATGGAATACAAGCGTGTATGTACTTCCTGTCAACCAAACGGCATTCTGGGGAGTCGAGTCAACGTTGATTTTGCTTCACCCAGGTGAGAACCCAAAGCGACCAGGATGAGTTTAATTTGCAAGAGTGCGTGGGTGAGTGCGTGGGTGATCAGGTGAGTGAGACTAGGTTAAAAGTCACGCGTTGGTGATGATGTCTCCACGGGAGGAGGGGGGGAGGGATTGTCACGAGGTGGTGATGTCACCGTGAGAATGGAGGGGGGAGGAGGTCAGGCGGTGCTGATGTCACAGTAACACTGAAACTGGAATGTGCACGGGCGGCAGATGAGGAAGTGAGGGCCGATCACACTTCTTGTGGGAGATTCGATTTGAATTATAGGGGAAAAATTCTGAAGCAGAAGAGAAAAATCACGCTCTCGCCCAAAAATTCTAACACCCCACTCACTGTATCACCCATACATTCATCCGCTCTCTCACCCTCTGTTTGACTTGCTCACTAACCCCCTAACCCAATCTCTCACCCAGCCTGTTATCACACAATCTCACCTGGTTAATCACCCACCCACTAAACGTCTCACCAATGCACTCACTATCCCACCCACCCACCCACACATTGGCCCATTCTCACCCCTCCCCCCCATCCACGTCCCCTCCTATCGTCTTAACACTCGTTCACTCACCACACCCGAACCTTTACCTGACTCACCTCTATCCCACTTACAGTCGAGATAAGCGGACAGTGTCTCCTTCGCATCGTCACATAGTCACTTTAAGATGTTTTCTTGTTCATGTTTTTCTTTGTTGCGGTTGCACCCGATTCAAGAGCCGAATGGCTCACAGGGCTATACCAAATTCATTAAATGAAATCTCTCTACACAAAAGCAGTTTGGCGACCATGGTTCAGTGCAGAGGTCGCAAACGGGTTTTGATTCCTTACCCGTACCAGTACCCGGCTGCACCAGGGTCGCAAACGGGTACCCGTACCCGGCCGTAACCATACCCTACCCGTACCCGGCTGGGTATCGGGTAGGGTACGGGTATCAGGTACCCGATTGCGACCTCTGGGTTGAAGCCATGTTGCAGGCGCGGGTGGGTTGATTCTAGGAACTTGAATTGTGAGAAGAGACAAGACGTTGGGAAATGAGTGACAAACGGTTACTCACCAGTGACTCACGGTCTACCCGTACCCGGCCGCACCAGGGTCGCAAACAGGTACCTGTACCCGACCAGGTACGGGTAGCCGGGTATCGGGTAGGGTACGGGTATCGGGTACCCGGTTGCGACCTCTGGTTCAGTGCAAGCAACGCTCTCGATCGGTCTCCACATTCAGCGTCTCGTCAGCAGAGTCAGGCTCACTTGTTTATCATTCATCGCCGGTGGACTGCCAGGCGTTTACAGCCAAGGCCCCCCCCCTCTCCTCTTTCTCACTTATCTGTTGGATACGGGTCCTGGTTCGACACTAACTTTTATACAATTGCACAATACAGATTCATCACGAGCATCACCTTTCAACACCTGGCAGTTCGCCAGGTACAACACGTGCCTTGGCTTCAGGCGAGCCCGACTCTGCTGATGAGACCCTGGATGTTGAAACCAGCCCTTGGAACTCTTTTACACGATTGTGTGTGTGTCTGTGTTTCCCTCCCTACCCCACGAAGCAGAGCGTGACGGACGGGCACGTGCAGCTTGAAGAGTCTCTGTGTAACTCTATGGGTCTCTGTGGAACGGACGGTCACGTGCAGTTCCATGGGTCTCTATGTAACTCTGTGGGTCTCTGTGGAACTCTATGGGTCTCTGTGTAACTCTATGGGTCTCTGTGTAACTCTATGGGTCTCTGTGTAACTCTATGGGTCTCTGTCTAACTCTATGGGTCTCTGTGGAACTCTATGGGTCTCTGTGTAACTCTTTGGGTCTCTGTGTAACTCTATGGGTCTCTGTGGAACTCTATGGGTCTCTGTGGAACTCTATGGGTCTCTGTGTAACTCTATGGGTCTCTGTGTAACTCTATGGGTCTCTGTCTAACTCTATGGGTCTCTGTGTAACTCTATGGGTCTCTGTGTAACTCTATGGGTCTCTGTGTAACTCTATGGGTCTCTGTGGAACTCTATGGGTCTCTGTGGAACTCTATGGGTCTCTGTGGAACTCTATGGGTCTCTGTGTAACTCTATGGGTCTCTGTGGAACTCTATGGGTCTCTGTGTAACTCTATGGGTCTCTGTGTAACTATATGGGTCTCTGTGGAACTCTATGGGTCTCTGTGGAACTCTATGGGTCTCTGTGTAACTCTATGGGTCTCTATGTAACTCTATGGGTCTCTATGTAACTCTATGGGTCTCTATGTATACTCTATGGGTCTCTATGTACTCTATGGGTCTCTATGTAACTCTATGGGTCTCTGTGTAACTCTATGGGTCTCTGTAGAACTCTATGGGTCTCTGTGGAACTCTATGGGTCTCTGTGTAACTCTATGGGTCTCTGTGTGACTCTATGGGTCTCTGTGTAACTCTATGGGTCTCTGTGTAACTCTATGGGTCTCTGTGTAACTCTATGGGTCTCTGTGTAACTCTATGGGTCTCTGTGTAACTCTATGGGTCTCTGTGGAACTCTATGGGTCTCTGTGGAACTCTATGGGTCTCTGTGGAACTCTATGGGTCTCTGTGGAACTCTATGGGTCTCTGTGGAACTCTATGGGTCTCTGTGTTACTCTATGGGTCTCTGTGTTACTCTATGGGTCTCTGTGTAACTCTATGTGTCTCTGTGTAACTCTATGTGTCTCTGTGTTACTCTATGGGTCTCTGTGTAACTCTATGTGTCTCTGTGTTACTCTATGGGTCTCTGTGTAACTCTACGAGTCTCTGTGTTACTCTATGGGTCTCTGTGTAACTCTATGGGTCTCTATGTAACTCTATGGGTCTCTGTGTAACTCTATGGGTCTCTGTGTAACTCTATGGGTCTCTGTGGAACTCTATGGGTCTCTGTGTAATTCTATGGGTCTCTATGTAACTCTATCGGTCTCTATGTAACTCTATGGGTCTCTGTGTAACTCTATGGGTCTCTGTGGAATGGGCGGTCACGTGTAGCTTGACGGGTCTCTATGTAACTCTATGGGTCTCTATGTAACTCTATGGGTCTCTGTCTAACTCTATGGGTCTCTGTGGAACTCTATGGGTCTCTGTGTAACTCTATGTGTCTCTGTGTTACTCTATGGGTCTCTGTGTAACTCTACGAGTCTCTGTGTTACTCTATGGGTCTCTGTGTAACTCTATGGGTCTCTATGTAACTCTATGGGTCTCTGTGTAACTCTATGGGTCTCTGTGTAACTCTATGGGTCTCTGTGGAACTCTATGGGTCTCTGTGTAATTCTATGGGTCTCTATGTAACTCTATCGGTCTCTATGTAACTCTATGGGTCTCTGTGTAACTCTATGGGTCTCTGTGGAATGGGCGGTCACGTGTAGCTTGACGGGTCTCTATGTAACTCTATGGGTCTCTATGTAACTCTATGGGTATCTGTGTAACTCTATGGGTCTCTGTGGAACTCTATGGGTCTCTGTGGAACTCTACTTAACTGCAAAGTCCCCTAACTGCCGCCACTGCCTGCCGCTTGGGACTATGGTCTCTGAGTCTCTTTGTCACTCGATGGGTCTCCGGTCGATTTACACAACGAGACAGAGAGGCAGGCAGGGAGACAGACGGGACACTGGCCCGCCTGGTTCCTTCCGGAACGACGCAGTCCACTTCAGATTTTCAGTTCTGATCTCTTGCTCCCCGCGAGCTCCCCCCCCCCCTCCCACCCCACCTCTCCTCGCCCCCCCTCCCACCCCACCTCTCCTCGCCCCCCCTCCCACCCCGCCTCTCCTCGCCCCCCCTCCCACCCCACCTCTCCTCGCCCCCCCTCCCACCCCACCTCTCCTCGCCCCCCCTCCCACCCCGCCTCTCCTCGCCCCCCCTCCCACCCCAGCTCACCTGGCCCCCCCACTGGGCGAGGCTGCTGGCTATGGAGGAGAGGTAGTCGGGCACGAGGTCGAGGAGGCACGTGCTGAGGAAGACGCCGGCCGCCGCGCACTGCAGCATGCCCAGGACGCACACGCCCAGGGGACCTGGGGCCACCGGGGTCACACGGGGGACGGGGGTCAGCGGGGTCACATGGGGGGCGGGGGTCAGTGGGGTTACACGGGGGTCAGTGGGGTCACATGGGGGGCGAGGGTCAGCGGGTCACATGGGGGACGGGGGTCAGTGGGGTCACACGGGGGTCAGTGGGGTCACATAGGGGACGGGGGTCAGTGGGGTCACACGGGGGACGGGAGTCAGTGGGGTCACATGGGGGCGGGGTCAGTGGGTTCACATGGGGGACGGGGGTCAGTGGGGTCACACGGGGGTCAGCGGGGTCACATGGGGGACGGGGTCAGTGGGTTCACATGGGGGACGGGGGTCAGTGGGGTCACATGGGGGACGGGGGTCAGTGGGGTCACACGGGGGTCAGCGGGGGTCACATGGGGGACGGGGTCAGTGGGTTCACATGGGGGACGGGGGTCAGTGGGGTCACATGGGGGTCAGTGGGTTCACATGGGGGACGGGGGTCAGTGGGGTCACATGGGGGTCAGTGGGTTCACATGGGGGACGGGGGTCAGTGGGGTCACATGGGGGACGGGGGTCAGCGGGGTCACATGGGGGGCGGGGGTCAGTGGGGTCACATGGGGGACGGGGGTCAGTGGGGTCACATGGGGGGCGGGGGTCAGTGGGGTCACATGGGGGACGGGGTCAGAGGGGTATCACGGGGGTCAGCGGGGTCACATGGGGGCGGGGGTCAGTGGGGTTACACGGGGGTCAGTGGGGTCACACGGGGGTCAGCGGGGTCACATGGGGGGCGGGGATAAGCGGGGTTACCCATTGCAACATGCACTCATTTATACATCAACTCATTCACATATGCACTAATTTGTGAACTCATTCATTCGCTAAATAATATATGTACTCATTCATTGACTCATTGGCATATTCACTGATTCAGTCGCTCATTCACGTCTTCACTCACTAACTCATTCACATATGCACTCATTCGTGAACTCATTCATTCGCTAAATAATATATTCACTCATTCATTGACTCATTGGCATATTCACTGATTCAGTCGCTCATTCACGTCTTCACTCACGAACTCATTCACATATGCACCCATTCACTAACTCATTCACATATGCACCCATTCACTAACTCATTCACATATGCACCCATTCACTAACTCATTCAGTCACCCATCACGTGTCACGCAGCTGAGCTGCAATCCGGATGTTCAGAATCACGGCGCTGCCATTTCCGCTCAACTCCTATTCAGCAGCAGCAACAACAACAACTTTAATGCTCAGTCCATTCTCTTTTTTTTTTTTACGATCAGTGGAAACAAGAAGATGCTCGGTGTATTCGGCACTTTGTTTCGGTCATCATTTCGTAATTATTTTTTTTTTTTTTTTTTTTTTAAACGGGGCTTTATGTTGCCCTCGCTCGCTCGCTCTCTCGCTCGCTCGCTCTCTCGCTCGCTCTCTCGCTCGCTCTCTCGCTCACTCTCTCGCTTGCTCGCTCTCTCGCTCTCTCTCACTCGCTCTCTCTCTCGCTCATTCTCTCGCTCACTCTCTCGTTATTTACGCCGCCCCCCTCGCAGTCCTATGGCCTCCGACGGGTAGCTCATAACAGCATGCAGAGCTCCCCGTCATCTGCCACGGAGCACACGGCCTCCTCCATCGCCCACTGCTCCTTGAAGGCCGGCACGGCGTGGGTCAGCCGCGCGTGGCGGAACTCCAGCCACACCCTGGCTCCGACCAGAGCGCGGAAGATGCCCAGGCTGCTGGCCGGACGTTTCCCCTCCAGGGCCACCTTCCTCGCCCTGTAAATGGCGAGCTTGGCGTAGCCGACAAGCACGTTGACCAGCCCCTGAAAGTGTTGGGATCCGTCGCCCTTTCGGTATCCGTCCATTCTCAATCCACTGCTGGATGAGGGCCTCTCCACGACGTAGCAGTCATGGCCCCAGGGCCGCTTCAGATGTCACTCGCTGCCGATGTTGGTTATTTATGGGAGCCCATGGTGCGCTAACTGCGGCGCCACCGCTCCTTCAACTCGCGAAACCCGATCCGCCTTGGCGCGGGGGGGGGGGTGACGAGGGAGTGGGTGAGAGGGGAGCGAGAGGCGAGAGAGTGTGAGAGAGTGGGAGAGAGGGGAGAGGCGAGAGAGTGGGAGAGAGGAGAGATGGGAGAGAGGGGCGAGAGAGTGGGAGAGGCGAGAGAGTGGGAGAGAGTGGGAGAGATGGGGAGAGAGGGGAGAGAGGGGAGAGAGGAGAGAGAGTGGGAGAGGGGAGAGAGTGGGGGAGAAGGGAGAGATGGGACAGAGGCGAGAGAGTGGGAGAGGGGAGAGATGGGAGTGGGAGAGAGGGGGGAGTGTGGGAGAGAGAGTGGGAGAGTGTGGAAGAGAGAGAGAGTGGGATAGTGTGGGGGAGAATGGAAAGAGTGGGAGATAGGGGAGCGAGGCGAGAGAGGGGGTGGGAGAGACATATGGCAGAGCGGTGAGAGAGATGGGGGAGGGAGGGAGGGGATGTGTGTGAGAGAGAGCGGCGAGCGATGGGAGAGGGAGCAGAGAGAGAGAGACACGGGAGAGACACGGGAGAGGCGATGGGAGCGCGAGAGAGAGAGATCCCAATGGGAGCCGGTACCTGCCGGCTGAGCGTGGTTCCTGAAGTAGATCAGCGGCAGCAGAGCGAAGAAGGCGGTGATGAGAAACATTCCGCAGAGCCACGCCACCTTCTGCCACAGCAGGTCCATGGCGGAGGCGGCGGCGGAGGCGTCTCTGGTGAGTGAGTGACTGGAGAATCCCCCCGGCAGGGAGCGAGGGAGACCGAGAGAGACACCAACGGGAGGGCTCCTTGCGGAACCCAACACCCCCCCACCCTCTCGTCCCCCCCCCACCCTCTCGTCCCCCCCCCCACCCTCTCGCCCCCCCACCCTCTCGCCCCCCTCACGCTCCTCGCCCCCCCCTCTCCGCCCCCCTTCTCTCGCCCCCCTCCCACCCTCTCGTCCCCCCCCACCCTCTCGTCCCCCCCCCACCCTCTCGTCCCCCCCCCTCCACCCTCTCGTCCCCCCCCCCCACCCTCTCGTCCCCCCCCCCCACCCTCCTCGTCCCCCCCCCACTCTCCTCGTCCCCCCCCCACCCTCTCGTCCCCCCCCCCCCCACCCTCTCGTCCCCACCCCTCTCGTCCCCCTCCCACCCTCTCGCCCCCCCACCCTCTCGTCCCCCCCCCCACCCTCTCGTCCCCCCCCCACCCTCTCGTCCCCCCCCCCCACCCTCTCGTCCCCCCCCCCACCCTCTCGTCCCCCCCCCACCCTCTCGTCCCCCCCCCACCCTCTCGTCCCCCCCCCCACCCTCTCGTCCCCCCCCACCCTCTCGTCCCCCCCCCCCCACTCTCTCATCCCCCCCTCTCATCCCCCACCCTTTAATACCCCCCCACCCTCTCATCCCCCCCCCCTCTCACCCCCCCCCTCTCATCCCCCCCCTCTCATCCCACCCCTCTCATCCCCCCCCCTCTCATCCCCCCCTCTCTCATCCCCCCCCCCCTCTCATCTCCCCCCACTCCCTCATTCCCCCCCCTACCTCCATACTCCCTCCCTTCATCCCCCTCATCCCACCGAACCCTAAACCCGCCCATCACCCCCCCCCCCTCCCCCCCTTACCCCCCCCCCCCCAGTCCGCGCCCCACCCCGCCACACACAGGTGCCCCCCCCACCCCCCGCGGGCGACTTCTGCACAGGGAGGAGTGGAGTTGTGGTTGGGAGTAGTGGTGGTGGTTGTTGTTGTTGTTGTGATAGTAGTGGTGGTGTACTGATTGTTGAAGGTGCTTGTTGTTGTAGTTGATTGCTGTTGGTTGCTGGTGGGGGCGATTGTGATTGTTGTGGTGATTGCTGGTGGTTGTGGATGTTGTGGTGATCACACAGCTGGTGGTTGTGGTTGTTGTTGTGATCACACAGCTGGTGGTTGTGGTTGTTGTGGTGATTGCTGGTGGTTGTGGATGTTGTGGTGATCACACAGCTGGTGGTTGTGGTTGTTGTTGTGATCACACAGCTGGTGGTTGTGGTTGTTGTGGTGATTGCTGGTGATTGCTGGTGGTTGTGGTTGTTGTGGTGATTGCTGGTGGTTGTGGTTGTTGTGGTGATCACACAGCTGGTGGTTGTGGTTGTTGTGGTGATTTCTGGTGGTTGTGGAGGTTGTGGTGATCACACACCTGGTGGTTGTGGTTGTTGTTGTGATCACACAGCTGGTGGTTGTGGTTGTTGTGGTGATTGCTGGTGGTTGTGGTTGTTGTGGTGATCACACAGCTGGTGGTTGTGGTTGTTGTGGTGACTGCTGGTGGTTGTGGTTGTTGTGGTGATCACACAGCTGGTGGTTGTGATTGTTGTGGTGATTGCTGGTGGTAGTGATTGTTGTGGTGATTGCTGGTGGTTGTGATTGTTGTGGTGATCACACAGCTGGTGGTTGTGGTGGTTGTTGTGGTGATTGCTGGTGGTTGTGGTTGTTGTGGTGATTGCTGGTGGTTGTGATTGTTGTGGTGATCACACAGCTGGTGGTTGTTGTTGTGGTGATCACACAGCTGGTGGTTGTGATTGTTGTGGTGATTGCTGGTGGTTGTGATTGTTGTGGTGCTGCATCTGCCAGTCGTCATCTCAGTCAGTCGACCCATGGCACCACCTGCCAGCGGGCTTGGCCTCAAAGTGCACCTAGCCTGGCACAGGCGACGTGGTGAACGCCGGTTGTTGTTGTGTTGGGAGTGGTGGCGCAGCGGTTAGGGCACCGCGCTACGATACCCTGCCAGCCGAGTTCGATTCCCGCTCACAGCCAACACCGGTGGAGATTATCTGAAGCTGGCCTGGGACTCCGCGAGGTTGACTCGGCCTCAAATGAGTAACCCCGCGTGGGCTGTAAACGTCAGAGTACCGGGGAGACAAAGGCGGCCGTGCGTGGTGCAGGCCACACACCACCCGCTTGCGAGCCGTCCCACCGGCCTTCACAGGTGGTGCTAGCTCGCAGCAGTCTGGGGCTGAACGATTAATCGATTTCAAATCGAAGTCGCGAATTGAAACAATGCGATTAGTTAATTGCAAAGGCTGCGATTTTTTGCTATTTTACTTTAATTTTTTTTACTTAACAATTGTTCTATGATTGACTGTTCTATTTCAATTGAAACGTTTTAATAAATACATGTCGGAAGCAATTCATATATTTTAATATATAGAGCAGTTCATATGTTGATGGTATCACGTGGTAATGCTCCATCACATGCATAGTGAGTCCAACTGAGTCGCAGACGTTATCTTGGGAGCAACACTATTTATTACGTAACTTTAACACAACACCACACAACCTACACTCGGGTCTCGACTGCCCATCTAACCACGCTACGGCAGAACTAGACACGGTTCGCTATCCCGGCCAGGGCCACAGGCTGGCTGCCGGACTGCGTGGCTAGAGGCTTCTTCTCACCGACGTGGATCTTCTTCACACCAGCACACGAAGAACCCCGAGTTCGTCACGGGGACCCCGTTATATTCCCCCGGGTTGGGGCTGGCTCCGCCCTTCGCCCCGCCCACCTTCCAGATCTCTCTCCAGCTCTTTCTCGAAAGTTCCTGAGAGCTCTTGTAGACCACGTGACCGCCCAGCGGCCCCCGTCCACCGGTGGCCCCCCTCCAATATCATCCGGTCACGTGTTGGCAGGTCGACCGGCGTACCATGCCCCACCGTAACCCTGGCTGGCTGACGCTCCCTCTCGCTCCCTCACCGGGAGCCCGCACCGCACACTGCTCGCGGTGCCTCCGCGCTGGCCAGCGCTCACCCAAGCCCCGCTCGGGCCGGTACTACGCCTCATAAGCGGGCTGCACATAATGTCAGCACAGTATCCGCCGTGGCTTCGTATGCCCGGCTCCACACAGTGACACAGTCACTGCCAGAGGTCACAAACGGGTTTTGATTCCTCACCCATACCCGGCCGCACCAGGGTCGCAAACGGGTACCCGTACCAGTACCCTACCCGATACCCGGCTACCCGTACCCGGCCGGGTACGGGTAGCCGGGTAGGGTACGGGTATCGGGTACCCGGTTGCGACCTCTGGTCACTACGCATGTGTAGTGACTTCGGGGATGTCACTGTGTGGTGCCGGCCCAAGAGGGCTGTGGCACACGATGCACCGTCATCACGTACACCCCATGGTGGGTGTAGTACCAGCCCTAGCGGGGCTCAGTGTGCGCTGGGATAGCGCGGGCACCACGCTTAAAGCGTATTGCGGTCTCCCACGAGGTTGAGTGGGAGAGTGTCAGCCCAGGGGCAGGGTTGCCCCGGGCCACGGCACTCTGGTTGACCCCGTAGACACGTGATCTGGAGTGTCCACAGAGAGGGCCCCACGTGTCCGGGGAGAGCTCTCAAGGGGGATCGAGAGAGAGCGAGAATGCTCGAGAAGGCAGGTGGGGTCAAGGGCGGAGCAGCCCTGACCCAGGGGGATATAAGGCGGGTCCCTTGGAGGGACCGGGGTCGCTGAATTCTACAAGCTGAAGATCTACGTCCTGAAGATCTACGTCCTGAAGATCTACGACCTGAAGCTCTACGTCCTGAAGATCTACGTCATGAAGCTCTACGTCCTGAAGATCTACATCCTGAAGATCTACGTCCTGAAGATCTACATCCTGAAGATCTACGTCCTGAAGATCTACATCCTGAAGCTCTACGTCCTGAAGATCTACATCCTGAAGATCTACGACCTGAAGATCTACGACCTGAAGATCTACGTCCTGAAGCTCTACGACCTGAAGATCTACGTCCTGAAGATCTACGACCTGAAGATCTACGTCCTGAAGATCTACGTCCTGAAGATCTACGACTTGAAGATCTATGTCCTGAAGATCTACGTCCTGAAAATCTACGTCCTGAAGCTCTACGTCCTGAAGATCTACGACCTGAAGATCTACGTCCTAAAGATCTACGTCCTGAAGATCTATGTCCTGAAGATATACGTCCTGAAGATCTAAGTCCTGAAGATCTACGTCCTGAAGATCTACGTCCTGAAGATCTACATCCTGAAGATCTACGTCCTGAAGATCTACATCCTGAAGATCTACGACCTGAAGATCTACGACCTGAAGATCTACGTCCTGAAGCTCTATGACCTGAAGATCTACGTCCTGAAGATCTACGACCTGAAGATCTACGACCTGAAGATCTACGTCCTGAAGATCTACGACCTGAAGATCTACGTCTTGAAGATCTACGTCCTGAAGATCTACGTCCTGAAGATCTACGTCCTGAAGATCTACGTCCTGAAGCTCTATGACCTGAAGATCTACGTCCTGAAGATCTACGACCTGAAGATCTACGACCTGAAGATCTACGTCCTGAAGATCTACGACCTGAAGATCTACGTCTTGAAGATCTACGTCCTGAAGATCTACGTCCTGAAGATCTACGTCCTGAAGATCTACGTCCTGAAGATCTACGTCCTGAAGATCTACGTCTTGAAGATCTATGTCCTGAAGATCTACGTCCTGAAGATCTACGTCCTGAAGATCTACGTCCTGAAGATCTACGTCCTGAAGATCTACGTCCTGAAGATCTACGTCCTGAAGATCTACGTCCTGAAGATCTACGTCCTGAAGATCTACGACCTGAAGATCTATGTCTTGAAGATCTATGTCCTGAAGATCTACGTCCTGAAGATCTACGTCCTGAAGATCTACGACCTGAAGATCTACGACCTGAAGATCTACGTCCTGAAGATCTACGACCTGAAGATCTATGTCCTGAAGATCTACGACCTGAAGATCTACGTCCTGAAGATCTACGTCCTGAAGATCTACGACCTGAAGATCTACGTCCTGAAGATCTACGACCTGAAGATCTAC